CATTTTTTATTCAGTATTTTGATGGCCTGTTGAGATCGATAACGCTGCAGCCTTACTGGCTGGAATGGCAGCTTTCATGTAACTAAAAATTTCAGAGCAAAACTGCCTAGAACTATCCTCTGCCGTGTAGAGGATATAATTAGGCTCTGAGGGCCTGAGTCAGTGGAATCAATGGAATTTCCATTGATAAATTGACTTTTGATACAGCCCCTAATGCATCTTGTATGATAATGGCACCTTTCTCCAGGTATTTCTATGGTAGAATTAGAAAAACGTAGGGAAGTGAAAGTAAATACAAGTTAAACCAAAAGTTGAATGTTGTAAGAACTCTAACCAAAGACCAAAAAGAAAAAGAAAATTCACGGCTAGATCAGAAGCACAATAACTACTCTAATTTCAAGAGAATGCTGGTTTCCAGTGGCTGAGCAGCTAGACAACCTGGAATATTTTCCATCTAAAAATCAAGGGTGCAGTGAACATATTTCATTTCAACCTAACAGTCCTGCAGTTCTTAGGACTTCTGCCTCTGTTAGCTAGGAAATAACCAAGGTGTCTTCCTGCCGGAAGCAAGTGGTCCAACTTTGGAGGCTTCCATCATTCTGATGTTCTTGGTACTCCGCTGGTAGCTTAGTCCGTCAGCTTTCCCACCTGGAGTCAAGCTTACTGTTGCCCAGGTATTCTGAGCAATGTTTCCCGGACAATCACAATTTTCCTCTAGGCCGGTGGAGGGATGCAATATTTCACAAGGGGAAAGCCCAGCTCTAAATGAGAGACCAGCAAAAAACTGCTGCTGAGGCCAGGTCTTTAAGGTGGAAGAAAACGAATGAAAACCAGGGGAGATGTTTTGTTTCTTTCAACTGAAAATGTTCTCAGTGCGAGATTCATTCCATATTGAACGTTTTTAAGACTGGAAACCCAGCTCAGTCCAGTCGTGGCTTTTCATGGCAGACAGTTTCACTGGGTGAGCTGCGAGCTGATTTCACTGGCGTTCCCAGTGCTTTCTTGACAGCTGTAGTTAAACTGATGAGCACATGAGGCTTACACCTGGGGAATTATGGATTAGTCTTGTTTGTAAGGAAGCAAATATAAATTAGTGTGTTTATGCTACTTTTAAAATGCTTTTAATGAGGAATCATTTGCTATTCAAAATTTCAGTCTATAATAATGCCATAACCCCGCTGAGCTGATTATCCTGTGCCTTGTTGAACACCATTCTTCACACGGGAGATGAGGGCAAGCCAGTTGTTTTAGGTTTTTGTGTCTGTCCTGATATTGGACTCTTTAACGCAATGGGGCAAGACACCCCGCTTGACTATGTGTTGTGTTTTTATTTTGTTCTGTATTTTAGATGGAACTGATCTGACTTCCAACAGGTCTGAGGAGCAGCCTAACTGTCTTCTCCAGTAACAAGGCCTGGGGTCATCATGGCAGCAGGAGTAGCAGCATGGTTGCCCTTTGCCAGTTGCCATAGGATGGATGCCAGTGGCCAACTGTCCCATGCCACTGGCTCCGACGGAGAAAAACAAGAGGCAGGATGAGCTGATCATTCTCAATGTGAGTGGCAGGCGTTTCCAGACCTGGAGGACTACACTGGAGAGATACCCAGATACTCTCCTCGGCAGCACCGAGAAGGAATTCTTCTTCAACGAAGACACTAAGGAGTACTTCTTTGACCGGGACCCTGAGGTCTTTAGGTGCATCTTAAATTTTTATAGAACTGGGAAGCTGCACTATCCCAGGTATGAGTGCATCTCTGCTTATGACGAAGAGCTTGCCTTCTATGGGATCCTCCCTGAAATCATTGGGGACTGCTGCTACGAAGAGTACAAAGACAGAAAGCGGGAAAACGCAGAGCGGCTGATGGATGACAATGACTCAGAAAACAACCAAGAAGGGTCCATGCCATCCCTGAGCTTCCGGCAGACCATGTGGCGAGCCTTCGAGAACCCCCACACCAGCACCTTAGCCTTAGTCTTTTACTACGTCACCGGTTTCTTTATTGCTGTCTCTGTGATCACTAATGTCGTGGAAACTGTCCCTTGTGGCACGGTGCCTGGAAACAAGGAGCTTCCATGTGGGGAAAGATACGCTGTGGCTTTCTTTTGCTTGGACACGGCTTGCGTGATGATTTTCACGGTCGAGTATCTGTTGAGACTCTTTGCGGCCCCAAGTCGCTACAGATTCATTAGAAGTGTGATGAGCATCATTGACGTGGTGGCCATCATGCCATACTACATTGGCTTGGTGATGACCAACAACGAGGACGTCAGCGGAGCCTTTGTGACACTAAGGGTTTTTAGGGTTTTCAGGATTTTCAAGTTCTCTCGCCATTCCCAAGGCCTAAGAATCTTGGGCTACACTTTGAAGAGCTGTGCCTCCGAGCTTGGCTTTCTCCTCTTTTCCCTCACTATGGCAATCATCATCTTTGCAACTGTGATGTTTTACGCAGAGAAAGGGTCCTCGGCAAGCAAATTCACCAGTATTCCTGCGTCCTTTTGGTACACTATTGTAACCATGACAACACTGGGGTGAGTATTACTTTTTCTTTTACTGAGCAGCAGGCAAGCACGTTCTAGGAGCTTGCCTTCAGTTACTCCTAAGCGTTTTCTTGGGTGCATGTTTGAGAAGGGGCTGGAACTGTTAAAGGCTTGATTGTTCTTTGCCTTACAACTTCTGCAATTTATGCTTATGTGAAGTTGTATAAAGCAGAAAAAACACTTACACCCACTTGACAAATGCTTGGCACAATGGTAAATGAGTGCAGGAGGAGCAAGGCTGTGGAGTAGCAGGTCCTGTTTTGCACTCCTTCTGCAGGAGAGAAAAGTTATCAGGAGCGCAAGGGAGCTGGCAACTAGAGCTTATGGGTTTCCTCAGACGTTCGTTCGAGCCGTAGATGTTACACAAGGTTGCTGATGTATATGCTGGCTCTTCGCGATGTCGGTCATTGTTGCTTCACTTGACATGTACAGATTTGCTGAATTCAAACAGGTATTGTGGGTCGCGATACTCCTGAAAATACTCAGTGGTCTCCAGGACATGATCTGGTTTTTACTGAATTGAGCAGGATACCGGCTTCTTCTCTGTGTTTAGCTGTGAGTTTAAGAAAGAACGTGAGCATGCTGTAGCAGGTGCAGTAGAATTTCAGACATTCCCGTGGACAGGTACAAAGATAATGATATCAAAGCAAAGGAAATGTAGCCTGGAGGGCACTTTTTTCTCTTATATTTCATTTCTGTCTTACAGATGTTTCTGCTGAGATTATAGATTTGAGCTTCTGTTGCTCTGAACTAAAACCTTTGTAAGCAGAATGACCAAGCCCTCACGCTGACGGGGTTATGTAAGAGAAGGCAGGCATCGCCGGCTGCCGCTTCAGGCGGTCCCAGCCCGGTGAGTGAAGGCAAGCTCTTAACGCCACGCATCACAACAGTCCACCAAGTGTATAGTTACTTTGCAAAGAGTTTTCCCACTGGAAAGTTCACACAGTTTAATGTTCAGATGTAGACAATTCTCATTCTTGTAATATGGTGACCACTTTTTCTCTAAACTGCTCCTGATTTTAAACACTTCTCTGTGCCTATTATACATGAACAGGCTCACAGTAGCACTTTTAAATTATTAAAATCATAATTCAGCTGTCAGAAAGGCGCAGAATCTGAGCATATGACAACTGCAAGTCTGAATTTCTTCATTAAGTGAAAATGTAGAACGTGTTTGTCATAGTCACCAGAAGATCTCTTTTTCCTCCTTTCTGAACACCTAAGCGAGGTTTGCAAGTTCGTGTGGCAAAAGCGAAGGTCCTTACCCTGGAAAAGAAGTCAGCGCTTTCTCAGGAATCGAAGCTGGGCTTTAGATCCCAGCACTCCCCTGCTCTGTGGTTCAGCTTTCCATATTCTCACTGGTCCATACTGGTCAGTTCCCACCATCGTGTCTGAGCGGTTTCAGCGGGACGCCTGTCCTGGCTGGCGTGGTCGCGTGCCCTCTCCCTGAGGGGGAAATGCCTGAACATGCAGTTCTGTGCTCTGGTTTCTGTTCAGTAACGATTGCACCTATCTTGCTGTCTACACGCGGCGCTGCACATTCACACGTACGTTGTTGTATCTTTGTGACAGGGCAGCTGGGGTCAAGGCAACAGTCGGTGTTGCCTGGGAACAAACCCTCTGTGCAATCCCGGCAGAACGTGCTGCCGTGCAGTCGAGCGTCTGTTCCCCCCGGCGCGGTGACTTGGGCCTCTTCTCCTTCCCTCCCTTTCTGAGCGCATGGACAGACAAAGCAGAGTGCTCCTGAGGACTCTGGAGTGTTCTCACTCTGTTGTAATCACAGAAATTATAGATGAATGAGTGCTTTTAATGAGTTCAGAAGAATTTTAAAAATCATACATTTAAACACGGCTTTGTAAGAGTTCATTGGAAAGGGACCTATAAAATACCGTCAAAGCCTTAATGCTTAAACTTCTCGTGTTACTGATCTGGGATTTTTGTGCAGGATTTTAATTAAAATAGGTGTTTCTAGCAAATAGTCTATCAGCTGAGTTGTATTACAGACTCACAGAAACCTGGATGAAGGCGGACCCCGAGGAGCCCCCGT